ACTGAAATCTATTTGGATTAAGATCATTATTTGAAAGCTGACTCAGTTGCAATCCAAGCTTTTAAAAACGATTTGATTGCAAAAGAAGTGGCTATCGGTGGAATAATACAAAGTGCACAGGTCTTTTACAGACATTTCAGATTGGAATATGGTGAAGATGAAGATATTAAAATACGATGTTCATATAATTCCAACTTTCAAGAAAAATTTTTAAAAATTGATTGTCAAGAGTATATCACAACTGCTGCTAAAAGACTTACAAGCAGTGGTGAGCTGGAGACATATACCGCTTTCAATACTGATTATGAATCTTCAGCAGATACAATATTAGATTTACGCAAGGTAAAGCAAAATATCATATAGAAATATCTTTAAATATTTAATTTTTCAAATAATTTTTATTGTATTTATAAATATGTATACGTTGCAAATAAAAGAAGTTTTTTTTTAAATTAAATCTGTTTTATTTATCCAGGAGTTGTGGCTTGATGGAAAACCAAGCCATTTTACAAAAACTTTATCGTCTTTAGTTTTTACAACTTTTTCTACTAAATAAATGTCATTATGTTTAGATTTAAGCAACTCATATTCATAGAAACCACCTTCAATTGGTTGACCTTTGTAGTCTTCTAATAAGTATGTTACAGGGTTTGTTATTTGCACTTTCCTTATCTTGAATATTTCTGTAGTCCAGTTAGGAGTGTAACCTTTTTCAAAAACATGTTTAAACTTGCTTATCCGAACTGAGTCACCAATTTTAAATTTGCCTCGTTGTGAAATCTTAATATGATTGTATGCCCTTGACAACAACTCGTCAGCATTATTTTTATTTATATCTACTGGGCGTCTTTGTATGGTTCGATGATTTGTATGATTGTATTGGTCAACTAATTTATGAGTAATATCTATCCATTTATAATTTCCGTTGAATTCTTTCCACATTTTTTCTTTTAAAGTTCGGTTAAAACGTTCCACAATAGAGGCTTTTAATGAGCTATATGTAGAATAATGATTGATTTGATAGTTATTAATCAACTTTTTAAAAATTTTGTTAAAAAATTCTTTTCCATCGTCGGTATGAAGATTTTTTGGATATCGTTTGGCTTCTTTAAAAATAAGTTCCATAGCTTTGGTGACGGCATCAGAAGTTTTATTTTTTATTGGTACAGCCCAAGCATATTTTGAGAAAGTGTCTATAACAGTCAATAGGAATTTATATCCCCTACTTTCCTTTGCATAAGCTCCCATTTCAACTAAATCAGCTTGCCATAAAACATCATAGCCTTTTATAATAACCCTACGTCTTCGAAAATTTCTTCTTGCAGACTTATGCAACTCTTCAACAACAGCTCTCTTACTCATATTTTAGATTAATAATTAAAAAAGCTTTCCATAAATATTTTTTTAAGAATCGATTCTCTTGAGGTGCGCAATTAAATTAATAACCTTATCTTTAGTCATCTTAAACATAAATAATTAAAACAAATTTTTTTATGTTAGATTCTTATTTTATTTTTTTACAGTTCTTTTATACAATTGCATTAGCTTTACAATTCTAATCATAATATGGCCCTTTCCCAGTTATGTCAAAGATTTGACGATCATGTCAATCACGTCAATCGGTTGATTTAGCAAATGACAATCACCTATAATTTGAGCAATTTTCGCAACTGACATTTTATATTTCTTGTTTACATTACAATAAAGCGGAAAATTTAAAATTTGAAAAGTAAAATGAATATACTTAAAAAAATTTTATTTGACGAGCTTTACAGACTCCCAAAAACAAAGTAACGTGATAAGGAATAACTACAAAAAGTTGAAATTATATAGAAATATGTTTTTATATAAATTTATAAAAAAGAAAAAAATCTCAAATTTCACAAAACAAATTGACTTTTTTTCACAGCCGAAAATAAAAACAAGATCAGTACTTCAATTGAACGATTGGCTTTTTTAACAGCCCAAATAAAACAAAGAAAAGAAAAACTTGATATTCCAAATTTTAATATAATGGCAGTTTCAAATAGCTATAGCATTAATTATAGATTTCAATTAGTGCTAAATCGATAAATTTCAATTTTAAATTACCACAACAAAAACAAATTTCAAAATAAAAATTTATGTACTTAGATGATTTTATACATCGCGAAATTCTAATTTCCTAATAGAAAGTTCAATCAGCATAAAATTTTATACGTAGTTTACAAATGAAACTTAACGATTTAGTATATATCGAAATTCATAATTGGCTCTTATAATTCATTTTCAGTGTTTGAGTGGAAAAGCTCTCTTAAACTTCTTAATACTTTTAATCTTTCCCTTTCAATTTCAACCAACTCTTGATGGCGCTTTTCTTCTTTCTCAGCTTCTTCTTTCAAAAACTCAAATATTTCATTTTTTTTTTTGTTTTTTTCCCAGCTGGTTCAATATCGTCTTCTTGTGTATCAAATGTCTCGAAACTAGTTTTCCTGTGGTGGACTTACAAAATGTGAAACAGCGTACACCTCATCAAATAATTCAAAATACGGCCACACAGAAGCATTTCTGCCACTTAATTTATTCCGCTTTTTGATCCGCTTATAAGTGGTTAGCAGATTGGTGAATTTTATTTTGCACGCTTTTTTTTCAAAATGGAAATCTGAGCTAATAGTCTTAATTTCATTTACGACTGAATTCCATAGAACACTAAACTTGCGCTTTCCTGACTTAAACTGGTTTTCGTATTTCAATCGTGTTGCTACCAATAACATAGTCATCTCCTTATTCCAAAATTCTTCGCTACTACAAAAAAAATTGACAAACTATTTTACTTACATACATATTTTTAAATAAAATACTTGTTTTCTTCATTCATTTTATAACATAAAAAATCAACTTTAACAATATAAAAAGATCAACAAATCACTTATGCAATAGCCTTTAAAAACATGCGAAAAAAAACTAAAATGACAATCAATTGCGTTAGCAACATATGTTGGGATTTATGACGCTAGTGTCATGTTGCCTTGGGATTCATGACTAACGTCAGTTGCATGCATTTGACATACTGGGAAAGGCCCTAAAACAACAATATCAGAAAGAAAATCATAACAATCAACACAACAAAAAATCTAAATGAAAACCGATAATCAATGAAAGTCTGTAACAAAAATAAAAAAATTTTTTAATGTATAAAGAATTGGTTCAATAAAGACTTATGTAAGGAAAAAATTAAGATTTCTTTTTATTTACCTATGTATTTGTTTTTTACATTTTTAATTTTTCTTCTGACAGAATCTGTATAAATAGCGTACTGTAATAAATTAAAAATAATCATTATTACATGTTTTGAATATTTTATTTAACAATATATATATATATGTATATATATATTTAACAAAATATATATATATATATATACTTACGTATTTCAAAAGGTTGCGCATAAAAATTTGCTCTTTTTTACCTGTGGAATTTTTTCTTTATTCAAAATTCTTTTTTAAATTTTTTTTATTTTAAAGCTTTTATTATTATTATTATGATTATCATTTCCACTGGCGGTCACTTACGAACTAACTACTTAAAAATTATCCACGATTTTATTTCCAATACTATTTTTTATTAAAAGTGAAAATTGCTTGATTGGCAATTTTCACTTATTATTTAAAATTTATTATTCTAATAAAAATGTTTTTTTTTTATTTTTTTTATAATTACTTGCGCAATGCTAGTGTCTCATTACAATTAAATTAAAATTTAGGTAGTTCGATGAATTGCAAATGGATATTACATAACGTATTACGTTAAAAGAAAAAGTTGTCATTTATTAGTCAAAAATAACAACAAGTAAATGTTAAAGTAAAGGTTTTATTTATTGAAACGAAACGGTAGAGGGCAATCTTTATTTGAATTTATTGATGAATGCCCGGGCAATTCTGTTTTACTCAGCGTGTCATGCAGAGTAAAACATGGTGGTGACGTAACAATATATATATATATATATATATATATATATATATATATATATATAAAATATTTTGTTTTTAATTAGGCTATTTTATAATGTCCCCAGGCTAAAGTGTTAACTTTGTCATCTAATATAAATCTTTTATCATCATTGGGACATAATGCTACTTCATTTGGGTGTACATTGTATGAAGTTTAGTTTTAAATATAAACATGTTCTTACTACTATATCATGATTAAAAAAACAATTTTTAAAACCATCATTAGTTAAATCGTTTACAGCAGTTTTTTTTATACCCTTTACTTTTTTAATAGGTTTGATATTACTAACATCAATCATATACATTTTTGCTTTTAAACCTACAAATTCTTTCATAATTCTTCCATTATCCTCATCTTTAAACAAACCTATCATTTTTTTATTAACACAAGGAAAATTATATACATTATTAATAGGATAGGATTATTATAGGATTACAGGAAGTGTCCATTACATCAGGATAAATATCATTATAAAAATCATCAGTATTTATACTATAAACAAAACTATCAGTGTCCATATAATTAATTTTAACATTTTCACCGAATTTAGGCCTCATGTATTCATAATGAAAATCGTACATTAATATCTTTGATTGTTCAAGTGTAGTAAATCCTAAATATAAAATTATATGTATATGTTTGTCATATAAAATTTCCATTTTATTTAATTGTATAGCTGCCAAATCTTCCGTAAATTGGGAGATACTGTGAAAATTTTGCCTTGCGATTAAAGCTCTCGCACCTAAACGTTTACCTTTATTTCCCATGAAGAAGCTATTTTTATTAATTTTCTCTTTTCTACATTTTCCATTGTTTTTCCGTAACCTGCGTTATTCATTAATTTAAAAAAGTTTTTATCGGAAAGATTATTAGTATTCATTCTATTATCATAAGTTGTATTAAGATCGATATATTTTTTAACCAATTTGTTTGTTTAAATTCAATTACCCGATGAATATGTTGTAAAATGAGACCATTTTTTAAACATTGTTTTAAATTTCTATAATGTATTATGTATTTTTTTTATCATTTAAATCTGTTATTAGCTTATTTAATTTGCCTATTGGTGGAACTTTATTTTCAGCGCAAAATGGTAGATCTTTATGCTTATCGTGCAATTCAGGTGGATATTTCAAATCAACTTCGAGCACATATCCAATTTCTGCTATACTGAGAACATCAATATTAGAGAAATTATTAACCCATTTGAATGAACTTACGGGAAGATAACTTGACATTGCCCAACCATATAAATTGTTTGCATCACAATAAAATAAATATTGACTATCAATTTCTGCACAAAATCAGTCATATGTTTATTATTAGCTTTTGCATATCTACAAGGGCATTGACAAATACCTCCTCGTATTCCTTTTTGGAAAAACTTTAACATTTCTATGTCTGTTAATAATTCTAACTCTATTTTTGTATATTTTAATATCGCTTGCCAAGCTAAACTAAGAGAAAAGTGTGCGGGATCTAAATTATAAATTTTTTTACAAGTTTTTTTAAAATTTTCAAATATGTCAGTTAACTGTTTTAAAACTGTTATCTGTTTTAAGATAAAGTTCTAAATACTCCCATAATGTTTTGCAATTAAAAGTTTCCCATACTTTTTTCACGTGAAGGTATTCTAGATCTGAAAATTCTGAATTTAAAATTTGATTTTTGAAAGCTTCTTGAGGTGGCAAGCGAAATGAACATTTGTTCATTTAGCTTGCTTAAGGAATCCATATAATTATATGGAAATATCCCCTTATTTTTCATTAAATTAAATTTTATATTATCAGGATAATGATTTCTAACATTAATTAATTGATTATCTTCTAAATTTCTACCTAAACTAACAAGACTTGAACCCAAAAATCTAAAAGAATCTAAAAATCGTAATGTGAAATATTTACCACTATAATCCGATTTAATACATTTGCTTAGAGAAATATATTTTTCCTTGTTTAAAGGAATTACATTAATTGATCCATGAACACAATTTAAACTTTTAAATAAAATATGACAATCGTAATTAGAAAAATTATGAAAAAATATTGGAAAAAAATGTTTTAACTTATAGCTAAGATTACATTTATTATGAGAAATTCCTCTAAATTTCCCAGTTAAGTGGCAATGATCATATACTTCATCATCTTCCAATTCAATTTCCTCCTCACATATATGGCAAACTTTTGTATTTAAATTTTGAGTTATTTGTTCCTTTGTAAGCGGTATCATGGGCTTCTTTTTCAAAATATAGTTTTCAAATAAATCACTGCAATCTCCTATTAAGTTTTTCAAAAAATCATCTGCACAATTTTCACCTAAAAATATATATAAATATATAATATATATTGCATTTTGAAACCACATTTCATTTAAAAAATATGTTATTATTATATGTACTTACCTTTAAAATTTCTGTATTTATCCAAGCTTGAATCGAAAGAACATTTAATGAAATATGAAAAGGCAATTGGTGTATGCAATTCTATATCTGTTGTTGATGATATAGCAAGATTTTGTTGACAACCTTGAATTTTTTCCAAAATACATTCTGAATCAGCATATATAACAAATGGAACATCAAGTTGCTGATAATAATTTTTGAATTTTAAAATTTCACTCTCTTTTGTAGGAAGCCTTGTTACAATTTTATTACATTCATGTTTATGTTTTTCCAAAATGGATTGTGAGTTAAAATGTAATAAACATCCTGAACACATATATATTCTTCCTTTATGTTTGGTAATTTTGTTAACTAATAATTTAGAGATATTCTTTATCCACACATAATGAAAACGTTCTTCTTTTTCAATCAACAATAAATTAATGTGATTAGTTTTAATTAATTTTGTATGATAATATGGCCCAATAACATTGAACTTTTCATCTAACCCAAAAACGTTTATACTAATATTTGGGTTCAAATTTTCGAACACACAAATATCATCAACTTTCATAGGAAACTCTAGTCCGGTAAAGTTTAAACTAATCTTCTCGTTTAATAAAATAACTTCTTGGTTAATGTTGCACATAATTTTATAAGAACTAGTTCTATTAGAAGAATGAGAAACCTTTAAAAATGCTTGACGCAGGTTTTTTTATTTTTGTTTTTTTTTGGTAAATCAATATAACTTGAACCTGAAATTGGTTCATATTTATTTATATTAATTTCCACATGTAAAATATCTGATAAAGCCCAACCACATTCTCGTTCTTGAAATTCATCCATCAATTTCCGAATTCTATCATTGCACTCAATCAAAAAGTTTTCTATGTCATGTTCCAAATTTATTAACTTCATTTTTTTCATAAACGATTTTATATCTGTTTCAGGGTAAGAAGAACCGTCATCATCACCATTCAATGTCTGCGGTTTGACATATTTACAAAATAATTCTAAATTATATTTTATATTGCCTTCACGTTTTAAAATTTTAGAGTTCAAATTTATCAATATTTTCAATTATGTAAGTTTCAATTCTGTTTCGAAAACCTCCTTTTATGTATTTTATATTCGCATCTACTATCAAAGCACATTTTTCTCTATGCGCGTTAGTCCGTAGATGATAATACCATTTGGAGTCTTCAACTTCTGTTTCGCATGTCTCACAATAAATTTTTTTTTTTTTTAATTGAATATCGATGTTAACACTATCAATCTTTCGTTTCTTTAAATGCAATTTTTTTTTATTAATACGTAATGTATCTGCTCGAGTAAATTTTCTATCACATATCTCACATGAAAAAGTTCTATTTTTAGCACTTTTCCAAAAATTTTTTGAAAAAAAGTGCTTATTAGTTTCACTCTGTCCGTCCGTCCGTCCGTCCGTCCGTCCGTCCGTCCGTCTGTCCGTCCGTCCGTCCGTCCGTCCGTCCGTCCGTCCGTCTGTCCGTGTGTCTGTTTACAAAACTTCTACACCCTTGAAGATAGAAAGCTGAAATTTTATATGTACATAGATCTTTACTAGAAACTTATTTCTGTAGAACAAAATTTTTACCTATCTCCTCCCCTCTAGAAGTTATACCCCCCCAAAACCCTAAAAATGGCCTTTTTTAACTATTTGTTGCAATGAAACCATAAGCATTTTTGAAATTTTGCAAACGCAGAAAAGCAGCGGCTTGCTTCCCCAAGCGCGGCATACTATATTTGAACTTTAGAAAAACAAAATGGCCGTTCAAATTTACCGTTATCTAAAGTCCTTTTTTTGCAAATTTTTGATGTCGTTTTTTTTCCAAACTACAGCCTGTAGAAGCTTGAAATTTTAGGAGCTTTTAGACAATATCAAATAGTTCATTTCGCTAGAAGAAATTTTTTTTCCATCTCCACCCCCTCTCAAGTTATCGCCTCTTGAAATTTGTAAAATTTGAATTTTTGACACCTTATATTTCCGAAACCGCAAGCTTTTTCAAATTTCTATTAACGCAAAAAGTTAACGGTAAATTCCATGAAATTAAAAAATATAATTATTTTTCTTAACTCACAAAATTAAACCTTAAAATCGAGCATTATGTTAACCCCACTTTATATTAATTTTTGCTTTATTTCAAAGACTGCATAAATCATTCATCCTAAATATATGCAACCCTAGAAATAGTTTTGTATATGAATGAAAATAATTTTAATAGTGTGATAGGTACATAGACTACATAGACTGTATTTAAAAGCAAAATTTTCATTTGTTGAAGGGAAAAGTGCTACAATACAAACCATTGGTTTGACCCAACTTTATTTTTATGAATATCTAAATGCCTCCTCAAATTTCTAATTGTTTTTAATTCACTACCACAAATTTCACACAACATTTTATATATATATTTATATGTTGAACCTTTAATTAAAACTGAAATTGTTTTAAAAATGAAGCCACAATATGAATGAAAAAAATTTTTTTTATCGTTTTTTATTTTATTTTTTAATTTTTTTTATTTTTTTAATTAATTATAATACAGTAGAAATCTGTTCTAGTGAACGCCCGACTTTATGAACTTCCCAGTCGAGTGAACATAAAAATTTTAGCATTGACTGCCTTACACTGTGAACAAAAATTTTTATAAGTGCCCAGTATAGTGAACAAATTTTACAAAACTGTTTTTTTTTATATTATTCTTTTTATTTTTCTCATTGTAACGGGATTTTTCAAGTTGAATTACAAAAGAGAGCATTATTTTGTTTATTTAACATATAAGTCATACATTGTGTTAGGTAATGGCATTCAATTAAAGTGTAATTTCGATAAAATAAAAGTGTTCAAGTTTTTTTAAAATGCCGAAAACAAATATTAAAAGAAAACATTTGAATTTAAATGAAAAAATTAAAATTATAAAATCTTTAGAGTCAGGAGTAAGTGTTACAACATTATCTAAGAAATTTGGTATAGCTAAATCAACCGTGTGCGCGATTAATAGCAGAAAACTGAAGTTAAAGAGCCAAATTCGGTTACTAATTTAACCGAAAATGTGATAGAAACAGTTGAAGCAAAAATTTCTGATTATGAAGCCCTTGAAGCGCTAAATAAGACTATACAATGGGCTGCAGACAACGATATCTTGTTAACCGACCAAGTCACACTTAGACATGTAAGAGAAAATATTGTTTTCAACATTTCAAATAAAAACAAAATTAAAAAAAAAGTAACTGAATACTTTTCGAAACAATAAAGCTTTAAAAACTACTGTTTAGTTTAATTTATTTGACATTTAATACAGTGAACAGGTTCAATAGAACGAACAGCCTGTGTTTTTATTATGTTCACTCGAGCAGATTTCTACTGTAATAATATCATATCATGATTATTTCATTATCTTCATCAGATGTAACAGAATCTGTTACATTTTGGATTAGCATTTTTTTCTGCCCATCGTCATCATCATCATCATCATCCTCTTCAGAGTCCACTTTTATTAGGGATTTCATAAATTTTAATTTATATGTGCGGCCGAATTGACCCTTATTAATTATACCGTATGCTGTTTTTAACTTCATCATGTCGTCATCGGTAAGTGTGTTGATTCTTATAGGTAAAAATACTGCAAATCTTTTGAAAGTAGCCAATATTCTTAACCCGTATTTCGTATCCGTTTTTTTAATGTTTGAAATTACATAATTTTTTTTTAATTTCATGTCTGATATTTTTAAATCACCCATATCATATAACACCCATATACAATCTCCAACCACCCAAATACATTCCTCATATAAAATTCAAATCACCCCATTTACAATATCAAACCACCCGCATACACAACCCTTATAATATAAAATTTCAAAAAATTTTAAATTTCATTCATTCATACCTAATTTTTTACATGCTCTGAGAAATTTTCTTAAAAAAAATTTTTTGCCCGTTGCCCGTGTGTTCCAGAACCCGCCTATTATACTACTGTTATTAATATATTTTGAAGTAGTTTTTCATTATACGATTTTATTTTTTTAACAGGTACACATATTTTCATTGCGTTATATATGGCATCATTAAATATAGATATAGAAGTATCAATTTGTTCAATATCATTCAGCTCAATAATTGTAGAGTTTTTAAAATGATCAGTCAGATGTTTTTTGTACAGATCCCAATTGGTATTTTGTAGTTGAAGTAATTAGGCTCATGCCTGCATACATCTACATTTATTTCTGCTAAAACTGGTAGATGATCAGACGAAAGTTCATTTAAGGTAGTAGGTTGAGAAATAATTTCCTGTTTGTTTGTCAAAAAAATATCCAATGTTGACGGGTTTGCCTTGTCATTGTAAGGTATTGTATATATGTAGATTCTGGTGGATAAAGTAATGCAAACTTATTTTTTATAAGAAGCTCATTCAATATATTTCCCCAACTATTTGATCTGCAACAGTCCCATGAGCGATTTCTGCAGTTTAGGTCTCCACCAACCAAAAAATTTCCTTTTAAATTTGATAATTTTAAAACGTCATTTTTGAACATAGTAGATCCTTAGCCTTTTTAGTATTTTTTATACCATTCTCTATAATTATTTTGCCTGAAAAATAAGTCGCGTAAATTTTAATGATTTCAGAATTTCTTAAAAATAATTCAATTCCAATATTTTCTATTACGTTAGTTTTAATTTGTGGTATTATATTGTGGCTTTGGGGTATGGAGTTTTCAAAATAATAAAAGCAACCCCGCCACCTCTTTTCTGGACTCTATCATTTCTATAGACATTTAAATCAGGATGTCCTATTTTAATGTTTGTTTTCAACCAAGTTTCACTGACAAGGCAAATATGTATATTTTCTCTGATCATAAATTCGAATAATTCGGTTTGTTTACCATGGATCGATCGAGCGTCCCATGTAATTAATCTTATGTTGTAAATTGTATTAATCATGATTATATAAATATTTAACAGATAACTCTGTAATTACCATAAATTGTTCCTGTTTGTTAGAACATTTATTTAGCTTTGTTAACAATTCAACTTATTAATCTCGTCTGTAGTAAACAAATCTGAATTAGATGCAGATTGTAAATCGCCGCATGTACTAGGAAAATTAGTCACGACGTTACTCCATTTATTGTTGCTAATATTATTTTGGACGGGTGTATAATTAAATTTAGGAAATCTCGAATCATAATTAGTATTTAATGAAAATTGTGGAACTTTTGTTTTACTAGTTCTTAAATTTTTCTTTTTATTTATTATATTAATGTAAGCTTGCCGGAGAGGACATACGGGATCGTTAGAACTATGGTCACCTTTACAATTTACGCAGTTTTTAACCTGCTCAGCCTTGCAATCTTTTGTAGCATGATCACCCGCACATATAACACAATAAGTTTTTACATTACAAAAATCTGACCCGTGTCCAAACATTTGGCAATTTGAGCATTGCGTTACTTTTTTAGCACTTTTAATTTTATAATCCCATCGCACCCTGGTATAATTTATATAGCAGAAATTATTGCTGAGTTCGAACATTTTTACGGAATTCTTTTAAAAAAAAACCAAATACAATGGCACCTTCGTATTAAGTTTTTTAAGTTTTTTTATGATTTTAACCTTAGTGCATTTTAAGCCTTTTTCGTTTAACATATCCATTACTTAATTTTCTTCCATATGTTCTATTCCAGACATAAAAGCTTTAAATGGCCTTCTATTTTTAAATTCATAGGTAAAGAATTCTCATTTTCGTTCGCTCAAAGCATTATATACTTTTGTATATGATGTAGTGGAATTGCAAAAAATTTTTACACCCATTGATATAATTTTTAATTCAGGTTTAATAATATTATTTGTAGATTTAAGTAGTGTAATTGGTGGAATTTTATCATTTCTGCATTGTTATTATTTTTATTGCCAGCATTTTTGTTTGACTGCCATTAGTTTGCATTTGTTTATCAATATCAATGTTGTTGTTGTTTTCATTGCTGTCACTAGTCTGTATTTCATTATCAATATCATTTTTCTCTATTTCATTGTCACATGGTCTAATTTTTTTTATTAGCATTTTCCATAATATTATCATTTTTAGATGCTATTTCAGCATAATTAGTAGAAAATAAAGTTGGGTCAAACCAATGGTTTGTATTGTAGCACTTTTCCCTTAAACAAGTGAAAATTCTGCTTTTAAATACAGTCTATGTATACCTATCACACTATTAAAATTATTTTCATTCATATACAAAACTATTTCTAGGATTGCATATATTTAGGATGATGCATACATGCAGTCTTTGAAATAAAGCAAGAATTAATATAAAGAGGGGTTAACATAATGCTCGATTTTAATGTTTAATTGTATGAGTTAAGAAAAATAATTATATTTTTTAATGTCATGGAATTTACCGTTAACTTTTTGCGTTTATAGAAATTCGAAAAAACTTGCGGTTTCGGAAATATAGGGTGTCAAAAATTCAAATTTTACAAATTTCAAGGGGCGATAACTTGAGAGGGGGTAGAGATGGAAAAAAATTTTCTTCTAACAAAATGAACTATTTGTTAATGTCTAAAAGCTCCTAAAATTTCAAGCTTCTACAGGCTGGGGTGTAGATAACGGTAAATTTGAACGGCCATTTTGTTTTTCTCAAGTTTAACTATAGTATACCGCGCTAGGGGAAGCAAGCCGCTACCTTTCTGCGTTTGCAAAATTGCAAAAATGCTTATGGTTTCATTGCAACAAATAGTTAAAAAAGGCCATTTTTAATGTTTTGGGGGGGTAAAACTTCTAGAAGGGGGGAGATAGATAAAAATTTTGTTCTACGAAAATAAGTTTCTAGTAAAGATATATGTACGTATAAAATTTCAGCTTTCTATCTTCACGGGTGTAGAAGTTTTGTAAACAGACACACGGACAGACGGACGGACGGACAGAGTGAAACTAATAAGCACTTTTTTTCAAAAATTTTTTGGAAAAGTGCTAAAAAGACAAGGTAGGTATAATTACAAAAATAATTATATACTTGTAATATATGTAAAGAAATATGAGAGTTTAATATGAATTTTACGAGTAAGAGAATTTTATCTAAATTACCGAACCGCAAGAGAGTTCAATCAAGACTGAAAATAATAATATAAAAGATATTTTTCAATTCATGTCAAAATTTGATAAACATATATTGCATGAACACAAAGGAATCATCTTACGTTATCTTCGGAAGTTAATTGATTATTTTTTTATTGGTTCTAATGTTAGTATACATGGAACACACTTCAGCGATTGTGTATAGTCAGATAATGATGCTGAGACTGGTCCCGGTACATGTCATTGTGTAAGCATTAGTTATTTCAAATATTATGAAATCCAAAAAATTATGGAATTATATATAATTTCAAAAATTGACACAA